AAGGATTAAACAGTTCTTAAAGTCTTCTCTGCTGTGGCTGGCTCATTGGTGCTCTTGCCCGGGGGACCTCAATGGAAATGCAGATGACATCCCTCTTTCAGGTGTTTTATGACAAATAATGTTATCTTTACATTACCATTTAAGTAACAAAAGCAGCTAAGAGAAATTAAACCAAAAGCTCTCTGATAAAGGTGAGTCTTGAACTTGTGGTTTCAGAAATGTAGAGTTTTGGAACTATAGACAAACAATTCCATGCTATTAAGGTGACATATGCAGTAAGTCCATTTCTAAACATTGTTGTTATCTTTAATTTGTATAATTTATATAGTTATAGAAATATCCATGGTAGAAAACTACATTGTTATTAAAATATGTGATTGTTTTTAGACTTCAGAAAATAGCTCTAAGAAATAATTCTACTTCTATAACCCAACATTTACGACTGCTTATTAGAGGACAAGATCAGGACTGCTTTCAGGTTTGTTGAATGCATAATTTGGTTCTGTTTTATATTCTTGCTGGGTTCAGAAAACTTTGATATGAAGATAATTCTGTGATATTTATCTTGTAAGAACTCATATTAATGGTATGTTTTATTTGTTTAATGCAATGATTATTTTTAAATTGTAGCTTCAGAACATTTTTGGTACAGAAGAGCGATTAACCAGTAATTGTGAGATGAGAATTCATCCAAAAGAAGACATTAACATCTGTGTTTTATTCACGCCTACTCGATTATCTTGTATGGTGGCTAAACTAGAAATTAAACAACTTGGAATTCGATCACAACTGGGCATTAAGTTTACAGTAAGATAATTTTGTTGCTTTTTCCTCCCTTGAAGCTTATGGCATGTTATAACAATTGATTTAATAATGGTAAATTTGTATATGCTCTTTTTTAAAAGTGAAAATATATGACTATCTAAATTTATACAATAACGAGTCACTATTTGTAGAATTTCCATGTAATAAAAGTGACTGCCGTAGTATTCTTATAAGCAACCATCTCCTCTATGACTTGTAAATTATGTTTGAGCATTTTAAAATATACCAACTATTTATGAACACTTGTTTTGGGGTAAATCAAGGTGAGCTATTTAAGGTAGTGACTCTTCAGAGTGATTCTCATTTTTTCAGTTTAGCAAATTTGTCACCATTTGGTTAAATTTGTACTAGGGATACAAAGACAAGAGTTTTTATAGTTTGCTTATATTCAGCTTCATTTAAGAAAAGGATTTTAAACCATTAATGAAAATATATTCAAAGCAAATACAAAATATAAATGACAAATTTTTGAGGAAAGGGAATGGGACAAGCTCAATGTAGTTTAATGAAATGTGGACAGCTTAACAATGTACACATTGAAACTACAGTTATTTGGGAATGTTTTTGTTGCTGTTAAGTGCCATGAAGTCAGTTCCGACTCATAGCGACGCTCTATAGGGTTTCTGAGGAGCTGCTGGTGGGCTTAGTGATTAAGTGTAGAACCAATTAATTTGATAGTCAACCAAGTTTGTGTTTGATGTCTTCTTAAGAAAAATCAGGATCCTAACTGGGATTCCTACCTAAATAATTTGCTATCCATCTTCTCACAGAAGTGGATCAGGTATGGATGACCTGTGGGTTTACCAAAGAATGTGGCTTTTATATCACAGAAAGACTTAGACTCTTACTATTGATGTGTCTTTGTAAAGATAAAGTCACTTGGCAAAGTGATAGAGAGCGCTTAACTCTAAGGTTGAGAAAATCTGGGAGCCAGTCCTGTCCCTGTTACTTATAAAGGTCTTAAAGTAAATCGCTTCACTTGCTCACACCTGTTTTCTTACATGTAAGATGTAACTACTCGCCATCTTCTCAACTTCCTTACTTGATTCTGTGAAGCAAATGATATTATCTCTGCTTTTTGTGCCATAAAGCATGATGTGAATGTAATCAAAATTAATTTGTAGGGTTGTGAATATATACAAGGCACTACCATTAATCACTACATGAATTATCACATTTATTAATTATTATAAGATTTACCTATGTCTGAAGTAAATTTCCTGTCCACATGTTATACACATATGGAAGCTGAGGACTTGAGAATTGCATGCCCAGGACCATGTATCTCACTTGCCATTGAGTATAGAGGCAGGGTTCATTGATTTATGTTTTATGACAAATAAAGAGCCCGCATTTATCTATCATATAATTCTACAGGGTATTATATTAGCTCTATATTTTGTCATCATCTAGAGCAATGGTTCTCAACCAGAGGCTGTTTACCTCTCGGGGCATTTGACAATGTCTAGAGATACATTTGGTTGTCATAACTAGGAGTAGGGAAAATTTGCAACTAGCAAGGGATAGAGAAAATGTGCTACTAGCATTAATGGGTAGAGGCCAAAGATATTGCTACACATCCTGTAATGCACAGTACCTACTGACGTAAAATGTCAAGAGCAACAAGGTTAAGTAACCCTGAACTAGACTAGTAATTTTTCCTGTTCAGTTTATGGATTTATTAGCATTAGTCAGATTTTAATTCATTTAATCTTTAAATTGTTCCTTTAACCTTTTAGTCAGTAATAATTCCTGATTCCTTAGGCTTTAAAAATCCAGGAAGAATATTTATATTGGGTGTTTTCAAAGCTAACTTTTTTTCCATTGTCATTTTGTATTTTTCTATTAACATGCAAGTTTCACTGGAAAATAATAATTAAAATGTTTTTGGCTTCTTGAATGGTACAGGATTTGTACGAGGTTCAGATCTGAAGCATTTAAAAATGCTATTCGTTTGTACTAAAAGGCAAGGCAATATAAATTGATTAAGAGGAGCCTAAATTGAATTTTATGAAATGTGATTTTGATTACATGTATAACCTAACTCAAAATAAATTATTTTTCTTAGGAATTTATTTTAATAATAAAGAATAAGTCATACTTTTAAAAGGAGTATATTTTAAAGGGAATGTTCTATAGCAGAGTAAATATTTTGTTTATATTCTTATTTATAGACTTTGTTCTGTGAATACTTTTTTCATAATATCACAAAGTCCTGTTGAATCAGAAAAGTTCAATTAGGACAGCATTATAGAATTAATCCTAACACTTGGCTCTGTTCTACTGTTTTCTTACTGCCAGTGTACCTATCGTCTGACAGTTGTTTGAATTCTTTAATATGATCCCTTGAGCATGCTTCTCTTCACACTGAATAGACTAAAAGCTAGAGGAACATATTACAATTAGGTTTTTCCATCAAAACATTTTATTATTAAATATTTCATAATTGCTGAGAAATTAAAAGCCTTATCAAGTGAGTACCCATATACCCTACTACTTAGATTCTGCAGTTAACATTTTATATTATTGTGGTTCAATCCCGTTCAGCAATTTTGCAGGAGAGACTTATTGCTCTGCTTCTATAAAAATTGCAGCCTAGAAAACCCTATGAGGCAATCCTGCTCTTTTACATAGGTCTCTAGGAGCCAAAATCTACTTGACAGCACCTAATAACAATATTATTATTTTATTATGCAACTAGCTATTTATTTATTAATTCTTCTATTTCTTTATGCATTTCAAAGTATAATACAAAAGCCAATGTATATCTTCTTAAGCAAGCATATCTAGAATCTTTTTACTGCTGTCATCTAAGCTTTGCTATTATAACAATGAAATAATTACTCTTAGTATATTGAAAGGTAAATAATTTGCTCTTTGATATGTTTTTCCTTACATCAAAGACTGAAAGTAGGACAGCCACTAGCCAAGGTACCAAAACAGTAAAATTTAAACTATATTAAATCAGTATATATTTCATTTTTTCACTATAGTACACTCCTCTGTTTTCTGTTACATAAAGATAATTTTGGATGTTTTTATTTTGTACTTCTAGATTCCTTTGTCTGGATATGGAGGAACAAGCAATCTTATTTTGGAAGATGTTAAAATATTATCTGATAGTTATATGGTTAAAGTGAATGGCTTAATTCCTGGTAAAGAATGTCAAGTTGATTTTTCTATTCGGAACACTGGCTCTCGAGCTGCTTTTGTTAAAGCAGTATGTTTGAAAGATTCTCAGGAAAACGTTTTACTGGATCCTAAAGTGATGAAAATTTTTCCAGATAAATTTGTGCTCAAGGAAGGAACACAAGAAGTAAGCATAAAAATCTCTCTACTAAAAATATCCCTGTTTATATTAAATTAATAGTATCTTTTATATCCAAAAGCTTAAATTTGTAAGTAATGTAGCAGTGCTGTTGTTAAGTACTGTCAAGTTGGTTCTGACTCATAGCAACACTGTATAATGTTTCTGAGGAGCGACTGGTACATTTGTACCACTGATTGACCTTGCGTTTAGCAGCCTAGTGCTTAATTCTGCTGCACCACACCAGTGTATGAGTAGAAATGCTTATTTATTTTTTTATCAACTTGGAAATACCATACATATGCATTTACATCTGTGTTGAATATTTTAGGTTCATAAGACAATTTATTTAGAATGAATGTACTTAGGAGGGTAAAAAGTATTGCTATTAGTATTATCATTTCATACATATGTGGATTTATTTAAAATATAACGTGTAAAGTTGTCTTTGCAATCAATGGATTGTTGTTGTTGATAAGAGCAGTCTAATTGGTTCTGACTCATCGTGACCCTGTATATAATGTGCTTGTGATTAGCAGTCCAATGCTGACCCTATGATGCCACACCAGGACTCCACAATCAGTAGGTTGCTGTAAACAAGTTTTCTTGTCTTGTTGTTGTTGTTAAGTGCCGTCGAGTCAATTCCGACTCATAGCGACACTGTATAGGGTTTCCCATGAGTGACTGGTGAACTTGAGCCGCCTACCTTGCAGTTCAAACAGCTTCACAGTCTGTCGCATTAACCCACAGAGCCACACCAGGATTAGGGTACCGTCAAACAAAGAAAATTCAAAGAAAACAGTAACTTCCATGGGCATCTGCTGGGCTAGTTAGATTCAAGGCAAAGAGGTCAGCTCAGAAGGTTATGGTGACTTTAAGACTTTAAGGAATAATTTTGATAGATTTTTCTCAAAGCATAGGACAATCATGGGGGCTTATTATAAAAAGTTTTTAAGAAAATTGAAAATTTCTTTGTTGAGAAAAAAGCCAGGAAAGTTGCACCAAGGGATTTTTTCCCATGGTACTCATTTTTTAAGAGTAGCAATGAAACTTTACCCTATTTGCCCAACAACCCTGATTTTGCCCCTTCAGGATTATTTTTGTTCCCAAATCTCAAAGGAAACTGAAAAGGTATATGATTTTCATCCCTTAGATATGTCAAAACTGATTTTCTGACATTATGTAATTTGAAGGACCCAGAATTCTTTGAAAGGGCTAAAGGAATGGAAACACCATCTTTCAAAGTTTAGAGGTCTAGATGGAGGATATATTGAGAAACAACAGCTTCATATTTTGATATATTTAATAATCAAAATTATATAATTTTATAATTCTTATTGACCTAGAAAAAATACTTAAATTAACTCCTGGATTTTAATTTTTTTTTAATTAACTTGGATCAGCGTGTTACTATAATATATAACCCTTCAGACAGAGAGAGCACTTCTAGAACTGCAACAGAATTATCGACTATATACTTCTTTGGTGGTGATGAAATTTTAAGACAACAGTATCGAAGGTAGGTTACTTATCTTAGAGAATATTGTGAGCTATTATATTAATAAAAATAACGAAGGCTTTAGTGGTTTGGGATTTGAAATGTATAGAAACATGTTCCACTGTTCATTACTAAACTGGTGGATTTTAAATCTTATTAAAAATTTTTCATTGATAAATTACCATAATGTGAGGAAAACCCAGCTCCTGTCATTCCTTTCAGTACGCCTTCTTTTATAAGCATGTGTTTGTCAACTTTTCTTTTGTTTAACAGGAGCATCCTTCTTCAGAACAGAACTGTATTTGTAATATACTCCTGAGGCTATATCAAGTTACAGTAGATCAGTTTCAGAAAAAGTTTCACAACTGCTGAAATAGTATATTGCATTAACAAACACACCTGATTAATTTGGATAATTTCTGAGAATGCAATTAATTATTTGAAAAGATCAACTCATAATTAAAACTAGGGTATTTAAAACATGTTCTTTTAGAACATTTGACACATGTTTTAAATATAACTTAGTACTCTGAAATGTTGGCAAATTTACAAATTTAGGATATTGATTTAGGTGTTTGTTGTTGCTAAATACCATGAAGCTGGTTTTGACTCATAGTGACCCTGTATAGGGTACCTGAGGCATTACATCTTTTTCAGGAGCAGAAAGCCTCATCTTTTCCCGCAGAGAAGCTAGTGGATTTGAACCACCAACCTTGTAGTTCGTAGACCAGTACTTATCCTACAGAGCCACTCACTCCTGATTTAGGTGGTGGTGTTTTTGTTGTTGTAAATACCATCAAGTTGGTTCTGACTCACAGCAACACTGTATAGGTGTGATTTTAAACATACATAAATTTGTGGTATGTTGAGTTATGTTTTTTTTTTTTTTTTAATGTTTTACTGTGAATTATTTGATAGTTTACATGGGGAAACAGCTTTACAGTCATCCTATTGTATATCGTTTCATAGCCATGGTTACAATCCCCTCCATGCATCATCAGCCTACCAAAGGGTATACTCTACAAGCCTACCCCCTGGTCGTCAGCACACAGCCCCTCTCCAGGTCTAGAGTCCCCAACCGCTCCATCTCTCCATGTCATCGCCTCTGCCTCCATCTCTGGTGTCACTGCTTCTCTGAGTAGGGCCCGCTTTCCACTCTTCTCCCTCGATGGTCCCAGGTACCTCTTCTCCTAGACTGCAAAGTCAGTCACTCCCCTCCTTTTGCTACAAAATGTCTACCTTTACATTTCGAACCCTCACAGTCAGTCCTGATAACAGCCATGCACTATTGTATCACAAGAGACCTAGCCCCAACTCTTTTCATTAGTACTGCCTAGACAGATTGGATACTACTCAGTGGAGATTCTACCTTCCTCCATGCACTCTGGATCTAGGCTCCTTCTTGAAAGCTTGTAAGCCAAGTCATTTCTTGCCCTTGTAAACCCCCCCGCCTTCCCCCATTTTGGGTAGCCATGTCCAAGTTGCCCATCCCTGTCTACTCTGTGTATGGAGAAGGGTGGGAATGATTCTTGGTATAAAGGTTTTAAACAAAAGAGGGATCTTTTGAGCTACTGCATCCATAGGTGTAGGTCAAGTTCATCAAATTGTATCAGGATACTCTTTTTTTTTTTTTTTTTTTACCTCTGCTTTCTTCTTCTAGTTGAGCTCTGATCATCCAGCCATTGAAGCCAGGTCAAGTGGGTATCATCTGCAAGCGTGGGTATTCTTGTGTATATGCCCTCTCTTCTTATCAGCTAGACGGTTCACTCTCCACTCTAGTCCTCTGTGGTTATGTCACTGACTCTGGGCCCAAGAGTCCCCAGGTCTTGCCACACTGCTTGCCGACCAGATCTCCACCCAGGTTCACAGCAGTCTATTGAACATTGTAGGGCTTATCTCACAGCTTCATTGCTGTTTTTCCCACACTTCCCCTTATTGGTGATGAACGTGGTCACCAATCAGCAGAGCGTATATTCCCAATGCGTCTTAGTCTTGGAACGGGGTTTGCCTTGAGGAGACCCGACCACTTAGCTTGATATCTCCTGGACGAGCAACTTGTTTGTTCTTGTAGTAATCAGTTGGACTGCCTTTATTGTTTCGTATTTTTCCTGTTGGTCTTTCTTTCAAGAAGTATCTTCTGTTCTTCTAGCCGCTCCAGGCTGGTCTGCTTGTCATTTCAAGTGGAAATTTCCCACCTCAGAAGATTCTGGATGGGGTTCAGGATTCCCCCTATGGTCTTATGTAATGCAGAGGATCCGTAGGAAGCCTCCTTCACTGGGCACGTTGTAGCCCCAATTTAGGTATTCCAATCAGTTATAGGCAGGAGACGGATTTACAAGCTTCCTATGGTGATATTTCTGGCTATTCCTTTCTCTCCCCCTCAAGTGTTTATTTTATAATGGTATGCAGGGAAACCAAGATTCAAAAGACAGCCAAGCATCTTAACATTAAGTCCCCACTTTTGCCCATTCTAACCATGCTTCAATCCCTGTATCTCAGAGCCTTGTGGTTCCAAGGTTGTGCATACATCATTATTTACCTCTGTCCCACTTAGCCCATGCAAACCTTCCTAATTGTTTGTTCTTCCATTCCCCTCCCCCTTCTTGTGTATTGTCCCCCTCCCTAGCACCCAAACTATCCTGTGTCTATTCCCTACCCTGTGCTTCACTTACCCCTCCTTCCCCTCACACTACCCCCACTTCCCAGTAACCAACAAAGAATCACCCCCTTTCCCCCTTTTGTATGGGTTCTTTTTCTTAGTCTTTTACAGTAGTGGTCCTGTGTAGTATTTCTCCTTTTGTGTCTGACTAATTTCACTCAACACAATGCCCTCAAGGTTCTTCCATGTTATGCAGTGGCTTGCAGCTTCCTTGTTATTCTTCAAAGTAGCATAATATTTCATTGTGTGTATGTACCACAGCTTGTTTATCCATTCTTCAAGTTGATGGGCACTTAGGCTGTCTCCATCTTTTTGCTATTGTAAATAGTGCTGCTATGAACATTGATGTGCATATATCTACTCGTGTTATGGCTTGTATTTCTTATAGGTAAATTCCAAGTAGAGGAATTGCTGGATCGTTAGATAATTCTATTTCCAATCTTCTGATGAAGCACCATATTGTTTTCCAGAGGTTGGACCATTTTGCAATCCCCCCAGCAACGCAGGAGCATCTCAGTCTCTCCACATCCCCGCCAGCATTTATTGTTCTCTACTTTTTTTAATCTTTGCTGTTATTGTTGGTGTGAGATGACATGTCATTGTTGTTTTGATTTACACCTCTCTAATGGCTAGTGATTGGGAACATTTCTTCCTATGTTTGTTGGCAGCCCAGAACTTGTCCTTGGTGAAGTGTCTGTTCATGTCCTGTGCCCATTTTTTAATAGGGTAATTTGTCTTTTTCTTGTAGAGGTGTTGTAGTTTCCTATATATTTTAGAAATGAGTCCCTTGTCTGATGTGTCATTGTAAAATATTTTTTCCCATTCTTGGGTTCCCTTTTTACTCTGTGGTGAAGTGTTTTTGTGTATATAAGTTTTAAATTTTTAATATGTCCTAACCATCTATTTTGTCTACTTTTGTTTGTGTAGTTTTCAAAATGTTTGATAGTCTGTGTATTCCGTGAATTAGTGCCCTTACATTTGTCCCTATTTTTTCATTGATGGCCTTCATAATTCTGGGATTCAGATTTTAAGTCTTTAATCCATGCTGAGTTGGTTTTTGTATAAGGTGTGAGCTGAAGGTCTTGTTTCAATCTTTTGTATGTCACTTTCTAGTCTGCCAGCACCATCTGTTGAAGAGGAGTCCTGGATACTTTTATAATGACAATCTGTTTTCTAGCCTTTCTACAATGCCTGAATATAAATCAATGTAGCTCAGGAAGTTTTATCTTGTTAATGCAGTCTTTAACTCCCAATTTTTTGTTTTAAGTTCAGTCAAGTTGGTTCTAACTCATAGCAAACCCTGTATAGTGTTTCTGAGGCTATGAATTTTTGAAAGAGCAGAAAACCTTTTCTTTTTCCTGCAGAGCAGTTGGTAGATTCATACCTCAGACCTCGTGGTTCACAATCTCGTGCTTATCTTAAAAAGCCACTGTTCTTCTCTTACCACTCAGTAGGGGAAAGTATATATATATATCCTCAAGGAGCTCTGGTAGTGTAGTGGTTACGACTGGGGCTCAAGATCAGCAGTTTGAAACTACCAGCTGTTCCACGGGAGAAAGAGGAGGCTTTCTGCTCCCATAAAGATTTACAGCCTCGGAAACCCTGTACAGGGTCGCTATGATTCGGAACCGACTCCATGGCACACAACAACAACAACATATATATACTAGTCTTTATGTTCTACTGTGTTTTATTCTGATACATAATTTGGAAAATTGTCCTTTTTAAACAAATCTGTTGAGAACCATTAGAATGTTTAGAGAGCTGTAATAAGCCATATGTGAAATGTGAAGATGCCACCTTTTAAACGAGTTCATTTTCCAGTTACTTAAAAATGAAAACTGATATTTAGAGAAATTGATTCCCAGGTTTTTGTTTTGTTTTGTTTTACACTTTTTTCTTTTTCCGAATGGATTATAAACTCTCTGTATTGTTTTAGAACTTCTGATTTTCTTAAATTTTCAGCAGTGAGATTTTGTTTGCTTGTGAACATATGAGTGCTATATATCGGTTTTCTTACATCAGAGATTCCCTGGAAGTGGGTAGATAAATATTGTAACTTATTTGTTTTCTTATGATGTCTTACTAGTATTAGTTTCCTAGCATATTTCTTTTCTCTGAGACCAACTTCTAAGTGGGACCACATTATCAGAAATGATAAAAATGACAGACCTGAAAGATTCTAATTTTATTCTTCTTTCTACTCTTTTACTCAGAGGTTCTTTTGATATTTGCATTGCACTAGTTTCAGTATACAGTTTCATATAATTTGACTGCCTTATGTACTTTCGTAAGGGAACTTTAAAAACTTGGGGTGTGGGGAGGGCAGGGCACCTGTACTAGGGCTTAAGATATAAGCTAACCATACTAATGTATTATTCTTTTCATTGTTGTTGTTGTTCAAGTGCCATCGAGTCACTTCCAGCCCATAGCAACCCTGTATAGGGTTTCCAAGGAGCCACTGGTGAGTTTGAACTGCTGACCTTGCAATTCAAACAGCTTTGCAGTCTGACGCATTAACTCACAGCACCACACCAGGACTCCATGCTTTTAATAGGATTTGCCAAATGTATTAATGGCAATTTATTTAAGAGCATTTTTTACGCAAAAAAATGTATAATTGAATCTCTCCTGGCAGAGCCCTCTTGCACAAACCGGGGATTATAGAACAGATACTGCCAGAACGTAGTCTGTTGCAGAATCTTAATTTTGCTGAAGAATATCAAGATGAGATGCTAATCACTGAAGGTAAGATTTTCAACATATCATAAATCTTTTGGGTCATTTTAAAAAATAATGCCTAGGTCCAGGGATGGTACGTAAGCAGGTAGAATGTTAGTTTAGGATATGGTGTCAATCTGAATTTGAACCACATTTCCACCATATGACTTTGGAAAAATCGCTTACTGTCACTGAAATTCAGTTTCCTTAACTGTAAAGTTAGGAAGAATAATTATATCTAGCTTTTTATCCATAAAGAATCAAATGAGATAATGTTCATGAATGAAATTTGCTATACAAATGTTGTTGGTTTTAATATCAACATGAGTTGGAACTCAACAGAGAGGACAACAGGTTTGGGTTTTTCTTTGGTTTTTATTTATTCTGTGAGTAGGTTTAAAAGCAGAAGAAGTAGAATGACTGCTGTTAAACTCAGATGAATTATACTTAAGATTTAATTAATGTGAACTTATACTCAGTTTTAGATTTCTGTGCTGTTGTGCCTACTCTAACATTTATGGTGAGAGTGCTAGATACAGAAAAGTTCTAAATAGACAGTTATAGAGTGACTTTAATATCCAATTTATTCCAATTTTAGCTAAACAATTCAAGTATTTAGTAGTGTCTGTTATTCATTCAAAAATATGTTTTGGGAGATGTGATTCTGTAGGATAAGCACTGAACCTCAAGGTAATTTTGAGCTGCAAGGTCAGCAGTTCAGACTCACCCATCACTCTTCAGAAGTGCTATATAGGGTTGCTATGAGCTGGAGCACTTAACAACAACAATTGTTTAGACTTGTCAGTATAGAGATTTTCATCACACTATTTATAATAGTTGTTGTTGTTATGTGCCGTGGAGTCGATTCCGACTCATAGCGACCCTGCACAGGGTTTCCAAGGCTGTAAATCTTTACGGGAGCAGAACGCCTCATCTTTCTCCCGCGGAATCGCTGGTAGTTTCGAACTGCTGACCTTGAGGTTCACAGCCCAATTCGTAACCACTACGCTACCAGAGAATGCTTATGACTAAGGGATTGTTGAATTGCCCTATAGGATATCTTGAAGCCATTAAAATAATTTTATGACTCTGTATTAAATGATATGATGAACTACTGTCTTAAGAAAAAATATTTAAAAGTTTAATATAGTAAGATTTCATTTGGATTAAAACAAATAATGTGTTTTTATATAATTGCTAACCAAAAGGCGGGTCGGTTCAAACCTACCAACTTCACCTCAGATATCCTATACAGGATCACTATGAGTTGAAACTGATTTGACAGCACTTAACAGCAACAACCACAACATATATTGTTCCTTAGGTAAGCACACCAATATACTGTTGTTGTTAAGTGTCAATTCTGATCCATAATGACCCTGTATAGGGTTTCCAGTGAGCAGCTGGTGAGCTTGAACCATTGACCTTGTGGTTCAAACAACTTTGCAGTCTGATGCTTTAGCCCACAGCGCCACACCAAGACTCCAATATATTATTGTTGTTGTTGTTACATGCCGTTGAGTCGGTTCCAACCCACAGTGACCCTGTATAGGGTTTCCAAGTAGTGACTGGTGAGCTTGAACCACCAACTTTGCAGTTCAAATGGTTTTGCAGTCTGGCACATTAACCCACAGTGCCAATATATTATTAGCAGCGTGTATATTTTGATGGTAGAATTTCAGATGATGGTGAGATTCTTCCACCTATTTTTGTTTTGATATTTTTTTTAATAGAGGACTATATATTGCTTCTGAAATATGAAATGCTAAAGGGGGAGGAGATCTAGGTCTTTTCAGGTGTGATGTAATCTAAGATCTTTTCAGTAAATTAGGAGTCTAGATCATCTGCTGAAAGAGAAGATAGTTATGGGTTAGTTAAAAATGATGAAAAGATTCAGATTGACCTTGTCAGCAGTGTGCTAAGGGAATAGAATGTAGGGGTAAGAACCTGGGATTTAAAGTGGAAAGTCAACTCAAGACCCATCTCTATTGCTTTAGTTCCTCTGAGCTTTATTTTCCATATCTTTTCCTCATAGTTAGGAACCTATGATAAACTAAACTACGCTAGAAAGATGAAACATGAACATTTAGTGCCATGTTTCAGCTATAGTGAAGAGTGTGATTAAAAGGTAGTATAAGTTTGTAGTAGTTCAAATGTTGACGCAATCCACAGCTTTGCAGCATTTTATTCATTTATTGAATTGGCGTGTATTAAGGGTAAAGGTGTGCATAACTGTCACCAGCTGTTCCTTCAATAGCAGTGTACTCAGCAAGGTTCAATAATTCATTGCAATGGTCATAGAGAACTCAGACACCATACTCACAGTTATGGGGTTTATTATGCAAGTTGACAGATTACAAATTTGTATCAGAAATGCTCAGGACACAGTTCTTTCTGTCAGGACAGCATCTTCCTAGCTGTGCCTGCAGGCAGGCCTCTCTGCCCCAGTGGCCCTTTGATTTGACTTGTTCCCTGCTGTGGCAGTGTTGCAAAACCAAAGCACACTCCACTTGGCTATAAACCCCAGCCTGAAGGCACTCAGTTCTCACTCCATGGGTCAGCAAACCTAGTTCCCCAGTTAAGTGCCTAAAGGCACCCTACAAGTGAACCTCCTGTCTAAAGGCTAGAAAATCCTGCTCTGTCTGATGTGCTGGCTCTTGGTTCTGTTCCTCTTTTTTCATTCCTCTGCTACTCCTCTGGTGTCACAGCTTTCTTTCTGTCCCTGGGTTGAGATTCAGTGTGCATTCCATTCTTCATTGATGGTAGTAAGATTCACCCCTCTGCTTCTGAGATGGTTCATTTAAAATTCAGCAGATTGCAAAATTGGCCAATCACAATTATCCCTATTAACACTCACAACAGAATCATATAATCCCTCAACATCTTCCCCCACATTCTATTTCTTACCCAGACCTATCAGGTAAAGGTTATTTGGTGGGAGTTTACAAAAACCATGGCTAGAAGAGACATTAAATAATTCACTGCACCACAAGGTGCCAATCAGAAGATCAAACATTAAAACATAGAAGTAAATATGTCATCCTTACCTGATATTGTTAAATGCTATAGAGTTGGTTTATACACATAGCACCTCTTTATAGGATTTCCAAGGAGTGACAGGTGGATTTGACCCATCGACCTTGTGGTTAGCCATCCAGTGCTTTTACTATAGTACCACACCAAGAGGTGGTTAAAGTGCAGTGTGAGAAGAGGAATCTTGGTGAGCACAGAGCAATAGTTCTTCACTTAAAATGAGGTAGAGAAGGGACGAGGGTTGGAAAGGATGTTACAGTTACAGGGAGCCAGCCACACGTGTAAAATTCAAGAAATAAGTTATTTTCAAGGTTTTGTTGAAAACCCAGCCAAGAGCCTAAATAATTGACCAAGGCCATTCATTTAAAGTGGGGTAATTGGGGAGCTCTGGTAGTGTAGTGGTTACGAATCGGGCAGCGAACCTTAAGGCCAGCAGTTCGAAACTACCAGCTGTTCCATGGGAGAAAGATGAGGCGTTCTCCTCCCGTTAAGATTTACAGCCTCGGAAACCCTGTACAGGGTCGCTATGGGTTGGAAACGACTCGACGGCACTTAACAACAACAATTGGGGTTTACAACAAGTCTTTGGGATCCCAGATCTCAAGGAACACTGTGTTCTTGAGATGGTCTATTTATTGTCTAGATGAAGGGAAGAAATGGTTCCACTTTATTTTGCACTTGTTAGTACAGTAACCTATGAGACTGTTGAAATGAAATTTTTTGCACGATTGTTTTGAAAAATATTAAATAAATTAATCTTTGTTATTTGTAATGATGACCATTGTTCTTTTGTAAATGTATAATTATTCATAATATTTTCACATATTTTAGATTGTATAGTTAGATGTCTTGATTCTTAAGTACCATTGAGTAGATTCTGACTCATAGTGACCCTGTATAGGAGAAGAAATGCTGGTGAATATGCACCCTGACTTTGTGGTTCAGACCGGCTTGCAATCCAATGTTTATCCTACAGCACTACACCAGGACTCCTAGATGTTGTGGTTAATACTGTGTAATTTTAACTTATTGTGGTCTTCTAAAATTTCCATTAAAAAATATATAATTCTTGGGGAACAAACAAGATGGCGGATCGGGTGGACGTATAGCAGAGAGCTCCACCAACAACAACACAGAATACCCGACCAAGCAGGCTCAGGGGATGGTCCCAGAACTCTGAACCACATATAAAGGGATACTTAGAAGGTTGGAAGGCTCACAGCTGGGGGAGTTTGTGGCAGAAGTAAGAAATCTATTGCTTTCTAAT